CTAGCAGTTTGAAAACATGCAAATATGAGTAGATCAGTAGGTATCACTTCGGTGGGAAGGTAATAGCACTCCATGCAGTCATGCTGGCCACATGACTTTGGAGGCGTCTATAGAAAATAAATAATAATAATAATAAAAAAAACTTTATTTGTACCCCGCTCCATCTCCCCAATGGGGACTCGGTGCAGCTTACATGAGGTCAATCCCAAAACAACAATTACATGAAATAAAACAAAACCAAAAACGCAAATAATAAACAATAAAAACGCTGACTCTAGAAATGGAGATGAGCACCCCCCCCCCCGAGTCATACTTGACTGGACTTAATGTTAAGGGGAAAGCTTTACTTTTTATTGTGCATAAATAAATAAATAAATAAATAAATGTAATATAACTTGTATGTGCATGTTACTGACAAGATTTTGCCCATGGGCAGCCCAGGGGAAGACCTAATCATACACCCTTTGAGTTCACAACTACACCCCCCACTGATGGCAATATGGGAAAGATGTGAATCTTATGGTAAGAGGGAATAATCATGGGGTGAGAACACTGTGTTGAAAAGTATAACGACACATTCCTCATTTGTTAAGCTTGGTGTTTTTGATTTGTATGACGTGCTCTCGGCAAGTGGAGTTGATGCCTAAGATATGATCATTTACGAAATTTCCTGTAGCTGCTGCTTGTGACCTAACCAAGGGGCCATCACAAATTTGAGAGCTTGAGGTAGTCTTGGTTTGGCAACCCTACTGGGAACCAGTCTTTGGAAACCACAGTTCTAAAGTATAGGAGTCCTTAAGATTAGTTAAGAAATGGATAAAGCAGGCCTTCCTTTGGTGCATGCTTTGTGATAACATGGCACTAATAACAGCATAGCACATATATTATATCTAGCACATGACTTACTTCATTCTACTAAATTTCCATTTAAAAGTCAATTGAGGCGTGGTTTTGTGCCAACTTTTCCCCGTCTCAAGTACGGTTGGTGGGGATGAGAGAGCCTTCTTGGTGGTGGCCCCCTGCTTTGGAATGCCCTCTCCAAATATATTGTTAGCCTGCACCCTCCAGGTTTTTGGAAACAGCTAAAAACATGGCTTTTTACAAACACTTTTGACCATGTTTAGGGATTATGAATCACTATATTTGTAAACCTAGTGAGTGGTCACTATTGTACTTTACAAGGATGAATATTGTTCATAGCTGGTATTTTATAGCTTGTCAGGTCTTTTAGCATTTTTAATTGATAGGGGCTTTATGGTAATGGGGTTAATATCATTGCTATTAATTTACCTTTTGTATTTTGTTGTATGTGTACTGTGTGGCACTATTGAGAGCATCCTGTGAGCTGTCCTGAGTCCCTCTGGGGAGATGGTGGTGGGACACCAATAGATTCTTATTCTTATTATGTTATTACGGTTGAAACGTGTTGGACGTGTGGCTCAAAAAACAGATTTTGTAAACTGTGCATCAGGAGGAAATAACATTATCAAAGGACAATGTGTAGTGCTCACACTGAATCTGACTGTTTTCACAGATGTATTTATTTATCGTATCAGAAGGGAACCAAGGATACAATTGCAATGTATTTTAAAAAGACACACACACAAAGTTTAAAAACTTGGCATTATAGTAGATGTCCTTTGACCTATTTGACCTATAGCTGGCCAGTTGGAGTGCCTCTGGTGTTGCTATAAGAAGGTCCTCCATTGTGCATGTGGCAGGGCTCAAGTTGCATCGTAGTAGGTGGTCTGTGGTTTGCTCTTCTCCACACTTGCATGTCGTGGACTCCACATTTCTTAAGGTTGGCTCTGCATCTCATAGTGCCAGAGCGCAGTCTGTTCAGCGTCTTCCAAGTTGCCCAGTTTTTTGTGTGCCCCTCATTCGATATCAGCCATGGCCTGAGGTTCCAGGTTTTTGCCTGCCACTTTTGGACTCTTGCTTGCTGAGGTGTTCCTGCGAGTATCTCTGTAGATCTTAGAGGTGTTGGTGTGGTGTGCTGGCTGATATCCAAACGGGATGGGCTGGAGATGTCACTGCCTTGGTCCTTTCATTATTGGCTGCTACTTCCTGGCGGATGTCAGGTGATGCAATACTGGCTAAACAGCATAATTTCTCCAGTGGTGTAGGGTGTAGACATCTTGTGATAATGCGGCATGTCTCATTAAGAACCACATCCACTGTTTTAGTGTGGTGAGATGTGTTCCACACTGGGCATGCATACACAGCAGCAGAGTAGCAAAGTGCAATGGCAAGATTGTCAGCATAGATGAAAGTTTCTGTCCCTTCTGGCATTTTCACAGAAACCTGTAAGAACGGTCAAAAGTGATGGAATAGTAGTGGTCCAAACTGCATTTTACAGCTGATCAGGAATTGGGAAGGGTATCTCTCCAGCGCAAGCCCAAGTCTTTCTTCCCTTGTCACCAAATGCATCTAGTTACTTTGTGCTCCTTTCTTTTCCAGCGTACTTGTGCTGGTGGATTATTGAGAGAGGAAAAAATGAACAGCAGGACACATGCCTGTTTCCTTAGCCCTAATTATATTTGGACGTGATCACCGAGTATTTCCACTGAACTTTGACTTGCATAATCACCAAAGCATTGTGGTGTCTAAATAAACTGTTCTCCACAATGTGGCAATACCGTTATCTGGTTTCCCTTTGGAACTTATGTTAACTAGCAACGTGGAAAACTGGGCACAGAGCATGTACAACTGATAATACAACTATTATATAAAATCTAACTAGCAGAAAGAAGCTATTCATGCCATTTACACAAAATATCCTCAATCCAAGGCACACCAACAGCCTAGAAGAGTAGCACAAATCTATTTTCTTGAAGAGCAAATCCTTTGTAACCCCTAGGGCTTGGTTCCAGGGCCATCAAGGTAGGTGGGTGCTCAAGTCCCATGGTAAGCAATGCTGGAGTCAACTGGAGTCTTGTACATAAAATGGAAAAACCAAAGTTTGCATTTTTGGATTTGAAAGAAATATTTTCAAACCAGGGATGGCTGAATATGGAGGTATTCAGATGTAGCACAGCTCGTTAATTGGCAGCAGCAATAGATCACGGCCGACCAGAAGGGGGCAAATTCAAAACCTGAGTTGATTGAGCACCCGACTGCTAAACCTAGCTTACTGTCCTCCTAAGCAGTTCAAAAACAGCTGACCTGTGAATAGAGAAAACAGGCACTGCTTAAATCGGGGAGGTATTTTTAAGACCCCATAAAAATGTGGCATCAAAGAACAAGGAGGAAATACTATCAAAAGGGCTCGGTGTCATAGTGGATGAAGCAACAGCACCCCCCTGGGCTGGAATTGAGCATAAACTCCAGGCACCAAAGTTGGAAAATGCCAAAATACCACTATCTGTCTGTATGTGTTGTATCCACTGAATGTTTGCTGTGCATGTGTGCATTGTGACCCACCCTGAGTCCCCTTTGGGGCAAGAAGAGCGGAATATAAATACTGCAAATAGAAAGAAAGAAATACGGAGGACCAACTGTATATTCATTTTACTTAGCTAGGCTGAAACAATAATTGTGTGGAAGGTAGACTCTTGCTTGATCCTCCCACTCAAGCTTGAAAAAAAAAATCACCTTTGGGCTACACAGTTCCCAGAAGTCACACAGGGCAAAAGCAAAAGGGGACAAACTTCAAGCCTCCTGCGCACTCTTTCACTCCTTGGGAGCATCCACACTGCAGAATGAATGCAGTTTGCCCTGGCTCAATGCTATGTAAAAAACCTGCTGTTTTTTGGGGTGGCACCAGCGCTATTGAGCGGAGAAAGCTAAAGACCTTGCAAAGACAGAGTTCCCAGGTTCCATAGCACTGAGCCAGGGCAACTAAAGTGGTGCCAAACTGCATCCATCCTACAGTATAGACCAGGTATGGGCAAACCCAAGCCCTAGATGAGGCCCCTTAGGCTCTTTTCTCAGGCCTTCCTCTCACACACCATCCTATCCTTCCTTCCTTCCTCCTTCCCTCCCTTTTTCTCCTTCCCTTCCACCCTTTCATCCTTCCCTCTCTTCCTCCTTCCTTCCGTTTTGTATTTCTTTCTCTTTCCTCCCTCCCTCCATTCCCTTCCACCCTTCCTTCCTTCTCTCTTTCCTTCCTCCTTTCATCCCTCCCTCTTTCTTCTTCCATCCTTCCCTTCTACCCTTTCATCCTTCCTTCCCTCTTTCATCTTTCTTTCTTTCCTTTAGCCTTCCCTTCCTTCTCTTCCTCCCCTCCTTCCTTTTTGTTCCACCTTTTCATCCTTCTTTCCTTCTCTTTTATCTTTCCTTCCCTCTCTTCCTTTCTCCTTCCATTCTTCCCTCCCACCCTTCCTTCCTTCTTTTTCCTCTTCTTCCTTCTCTCTTTCCTTTATTCTTCCCTCCATCCTTCTCTTCTTCCCCTCTCCCTCTCCTTCCCTCTTTCCCTTACCATCCTTCCCTTCCACCCTTTCGTCCTTCCTTCCCTCTTTCATCTTCCTTCCTTCCTTCTCTTTCCTTTATCCCTCCCTTCCTTCGTTCTCCTCCTCTCTTCCTTCCACCTTTTCATCCTTCCATCCTTCTCTCCCTCTTTCTCCTTCCATTCTTCCCTTCCGCCCTTTCATCCTTCCTTCCTTTTCTTTTTCCTCTGCTTCCTTCTCTTTTTCCTTTATCCTTCACTCCCTCCTTCTATTCTTCCCTTCCCCCTCCTTCCCTCTTTTCCCTTCCATCCTTTCCTCCCCCTCCCCCCCCCCTTTCGTCCTTCCTCCCTTCTCTCTTTCCTTTCCTCCTTCTCGTTACAGGGAAACCGGTCCTCCTAGCAGGGGGTGCTAGCATGGGCCCCCCAAAGTCAGAATGTGTGCCTGCCCATGCCTGGCGCGGACGCCCCCAGGGTCACGGACTCCAGGACTTTCCCCGGGCGGGCGCGCGACTTCCCTTCTGTTCCTTTTAATCCCCGCTTGTTGTTTGCGCTCAAAGAGGAAGTCTGCTGATTAGCTGCTGCGTTTGTCAATCAACGGCGGGGGAAATTCCCACGGTGGGCGGTGCTTCTGAGTCAGCTTCCTCTTGGGCAGCTTCCAGAGGAGGAAGTGGGGGGAGAAGATGCCTCAAGAGCCAAAGGAAGCTGGACCTCTCGCAGGTAGGGTAACCCACCCGAACACCCCATTTCCCTATTGATTTCTTTTAAAAGGTGGAGGGAGAAAGCCTGGAGTTGGATGCAAGTGTGTCAATGTCAGTGTGGATGAAGGAGCTTGTCTTATTGCGGTTTGATGCCACTTTAACTGCTATTGCTCAGTGTTCTGGAATTATGGGAGTTGTAGTTGGGCAGAGAGAGCTAAAGAAATGGTAAAACTACACTTTCCATAATTTCACAGAACTGAGTCAGTCTCAGCTGTTAAAGTGGTGTCAAAGGTATCCATTCTACAGTGTAGACCAGGCATGGGCAAACTTTAGCCCTCCAGGTGTTTTGGATTTCAACTCCCACAATTCCTAACAGCCTCAGGCCCTTTCCTTTTGCCCCTCCACCTTTTTGCTTGTGTTCAACATGTTAGTATCACTGGCTGTATCTACTCTGTAGCATTAATGCTCAATGCTGTGGAATTGTGGGATTTGTAGTTTGGTGTAGCGCCGGCATTCTTTGGCAGAGAAGGCTGAAGGCTTTGTTAAACTGCAACTCCCCTGATTCCACAGCATTGAGCCATGGCAGTTGAAGTTGGGGTTTTGTGTGTGTGTGTCAGAAGCAGCTTGAGAAACTGCAAGTCACTTCTGGTGTGAGAGAATTGGCCATCTGCAAGGACGCTGTCCAGGGGATGCCTAGATGTTTTGATGTTTTATCAATCTTGTGGGAGGCTTCTCTCATGTCCCCGCAAGGGAAGCTGAAGCTGACAGATGGGAGCTCACCCCGCTCCCAGGATTTGAATTGCCAACCTTTCGGTCAGCAGTCCTGCCGACACAAGGGTTTAACCATTTGTGTCACTGGGGGCTCAAAATGCAGTGTAGATGCAGCCAGGAGTGTTGACTGGGGGAAAATGTGCCTATCATAAATCTCGAGGAAGATCTGAGTTTTAGAAGGACAAAGTCTTTTTAATTGCAATCAGACAGGTTAAGGAATTAGGTCTCTTTAATAGTGTCAAAGCGAGTGATTGTGTTGCTCCCATGATCCAAAGTAGACCATTTTCTGCAACATCTGGTAAATGACTTTTTGCTTGTTCTGTGTGTTTACATGTACAGTTAACTGCTTGTATCCACATATTCTGCATCCATGGATGGGCATTTTACAATTTTTGGTAACCTCTGTAAAAAAAATGTCTGTTGATAGCATTTCAGAAGGATGTTTGTTTGTAACCCGATCTAGAATAAGTTAAAAAAAAAAAAAGACAAAGGTAGCACTGTACGCTGTTTCTTGTCCCCTTTGAAGTTAGCAGGGAGCCTGCAGGCTGTTGGGTCTAAATGTGACTTTTGCTGAAAGGTTAACTTTCTTTTCAATCCTGAACTGAGGCTTCTTCAAAGAGCCAGGAAGGAGAAGGTACAGCTCTCAGTTTTAGTTATTTTAAGTTCATGCTCACATGGTATTTTCCCCTGACTTGTTAAAAGAAGGTCAGCTCTCTTATATTAATTTTAGAATCAAACGTTAGAAAGGACCATCTGCAAAGCAGTAATACCTAACTAAAACACTTCCAAAAGGGAGCTATCTATTTTTAAGGAGCTTAGAGGGTCACACTTTCTCATCCTCAGAGAGGCAATGGCAGTGGCAAACCTCTTCAAAAAAAACCCCTTAGATTGGAAACCACTTGAGGACACATAATAACAACAAGATGTGAGCAGCCTGTGATGCTACATAAAGGAGGAAAATAATATATTAGTGTATTAAGTGTTGGTATTGACTTAAGGAAGTGACCTACCTGCCTAGATATTTAAGATGTGTAAGTCCCAGCCTATATTTTTATTTACGTCGCTTTTATCCCACCCATATCAGCCCGAAGGCGATTCAGAGCGGCATACAAATCAGCGCAATTAGATGCCATATAAAAATACATACATCAGTAAAAAGCCAAAAATCACATTACAATACATTTAAAAATGGTAAAAACAATAACAATAAAAACTATGTCTTCTTGTTCAAATCCTCAACCATTCCATCGTCTTAGCCGTTCCTAGTTCATATTCCAATTTGCGTTATTCTGTGTAATGCTACCGATTGCAGTGTATTGTATTGATAAATATTCCGGGAATTGTAGTATTGCTTTCTCGTATTAGTTTGGATTCAGTCTTTCACAATGAGTGACAAACTTTACACACAATTTCCCCCCATTGAGTTGGTTTGTTTAAGAGATAGCAGCTCCCCAGGGTAGGCTTTTAAAAACTAATTGGGGAACTAAACACACTGTCAATATTTTTTCCATTGCACCAGGAACAAGGAACCTATACACGGCAGTGCTCATCACCCCTTGGCTTTGGCTATGCTGGTTAAAGCTATCAGGAGCAGCAGTCTAACAACCTTTGGAGAGCTACATATCATCCATCCCTGTATTATACTGTTATGACATGCAGTCACTTTTTTTTTGGGGGGGGGGGGTGTTGGTACATTTACTTTTAAGAATATTATTTTCATTATTCACTCGTATCCATCTCCTTCCTCCCACCAAATGGGAACTTTTTTTTTGCATCAAGAGTGACTTGAGAAACTGCAAGTTGTTTCTGGTGTGAGAGAATTGGCTGTCTGCAAGGACGCTGCCCAGGGACACCCAGATGTTTTGATGTTTTGCCATCCTTGTGGGAGGCTTCTCTCATGTCCCCACGTGGGGAGCCGGAGCTGACAAAAGGAGCTCATCCTCGCTCTCCCCCGATTTGAACCTGTGACCTGTTGGTCTGTTGGTCCTGCCAGCACAAGAGTTTAACCCATTGCGCCACTGGGGGCTCCTAAATGGGAACTTAAAATCCCTTACAAGAACTAAATACTGTACCAATAACAGCTCATACAAAAACAACAGTAAAAATGGTTTTAAAGAAATCCATTTAAACGCTCTTTCAGTCAGTTCCTAAAAGTTTGATGAAAACTTCACTTGCTGAAGAAAGGCAACAAGGAGGGAACCCATCTTAGGATGCACCTATACTGAAGAATTAAGGCAACTTATTGCCACATTTTCTACAGAAAATTTATATGGGGATCTACATACAACTTTATGGTATTTAGGTTTTAATTGGTGATGTAAATAAAACAAGCATAATTAATTGATTCTAGTATCTGTTATTTCGTTAGTTTTTTCTGGCTGGCTGATTTTGTGAATGCCAGTGGACACTAGCTACCTGTGTAGCTTACTCCCCCTTTTCATGTGCTACCGAAATACACAAAAAGAAAATAGAAGGTTTTCCCAAATACTTTTCCACATGGGCATTTTTGAAGTGATATAACTCAACAGGCTGCATTTTGTGAACATGTTTATTTTGCCCCCACTTATTTTAAACTCTACAAATGAGTGCTTCAGCTGCTGATTTATGCGCTATGTTATTTAAAGGCTGGTTCATCATTTGCCTTTGGACACTTTGGCAAAGCAACAACCCAAACTTGTTCCTATTTAGCATCTCAAACCCTTTTCCTCATTGTTTTATTATACTTTTGCTTAATTTGCTATATTTTTGGTTGTAGCTGGGATTGGCAAATATAGCCCAAAGGCTCTCCTAAGTGCACTCTGGTTAGGGCATTTCTACCATGTTCTGAAGGTTTTTTTGGCTCCCTGGGATCAAAAGCATTTGCTGCAAAAGTTTAAAAATGTTTTTGCTCTGAAATGCTCCAAAATTTCCACATTTTCAAGGACCCCAGGGTCAATTTAGGCAAAGAAGAAGCCATTTATAAAACCCCAATCATACTGAAAATACACCTTACATGGGACAATTTCTTTAGTTCTGGGGCGGGAACTTGTTTGTCTTTTGCGGGAGCAGATGTGGTCCTTCAATCTTTCCTAGAAGGCTGCATAGCTTAGCTTTCATAGCTGCCCCACCTCTGCTTTGTGAATATGTTTGTTGCTTTAGTAGTCCAGAGGTACAGACATATTCCCATAGGTCTGGAGCAGAGAACCTATAGTTCTCCAAATATGATTGGATTAGTATTACCATCATCTTTAGCTAGCATAGCTACTGGTGAAAACGAAAAATAGCTGCAATTAAAAAGTCTGAATTATTGTCTCAAGTTTCCAGTCTCTGCTGTAGCAATATAAGCAATATATATAACATATATATACAATTGCTGTACATTTACGTGTGTGTATAGCCAAATGTGAGAGCAACAATATGGGAACACTATCAGTAGAATTTGGAAGCACAGGGAATCCAATTTGGCAGCACTGTGAAATGAGCCAGTATAACTTTTCTTGATGGCACCATCGGTTGTGTGAATTGCCCAGTCCTTGAATAATTTAGTGTTTTACTACATTCCTCTCTTAGTCATTGTTATATAAGAATGTCTTCCTCTAAGCAAGCCTAAAGATACCTTTAAAGCTCTTGATAGTGAGATCACCTGTCAAAGTTTCACTTCTCTTATTAGTTTCTGTTGGAGATATCCTTACTTTTCAGACTACAATGGCCCTTCAGATTTGCAAAATTATGTTTTGATCATTCACGATGATTATTAACACATTTTCTCTAGAAATTCCTACAAGAGTTGTGCTGAAGACTTAGAGATTAATTCTTTAGGCATTTGTAGCATGATTCCCTTGTTGTCTTCTGATAGACACTGACCATAGAGTCATGCTGGAGAACCTAGAGATTCATTGAGATGTGTTAAAAAAATATAGGTTAAAAGGGTTTTTTTAAAAAAAAAATCATGGTTTTCTCACTTTCATGAGGTTAGAAGTGCAAAGTAGAAAAAAACTCTGAATAAAAAAACTTTCATGGCTCAAATTACAGCTCAGCAACCCTAAATTACAAACTAACATTAACTTTTGCAACAGATCTTTCATATAGTAAAGGTAAAGGTTTCCCCTTGACATTAAGTCTAATCGAGTCTGACTCTGGGGAGTGATACTCATCTCCATTTCTAAGGCAAAGAGCCGTCATTGTCTGTATACACCACCAAGGTCATATGGCTGGCATGACTGCATGGAGTGCAATTACCTTCCCACCAAAGCAGTGATCTACTCATAT